ATCACCAAATTTTGATTTGTTAAATAGATAGATTAGCACTATGTGACTCACATTTTTGCATCTATTAACATTCCCCTTTTTCTATGACTTAAAATTATATATATATTTTTCATTATAATACTTGTTATCGTGACACTGTTTCGTGGTAAATTTCGTAGAGGCGAGTTTTCAATTTTAGGTTAGGAATTCGGGGAAAATGGAACAACACAAAATTTTGATTTGTTAAGTAGATAGATAGATAAATTTACAGATATACATAAGTGGGAATTTGTAATTATCTGTTTCTTCGTAATTTTATCTTCTATTTTACAGTATTTAGAACAACTCAGAAACTAATACTTTGACATTCATTTGACAATCATTATTTCATCCTCTCTCGTTTCCCCTAATAATGAAATTCCTCGTGCTTAGCCTGGTTTTATCTATTCATTTATTCATTCGTTTTTAAACATTGAATGAATTTCTAGTAACCTTATGTCCTCGATTATTTTCCATTGTATTTCCAATTAAATTAAATTAAAGCTCAGGTTGCAATCGAACCTTGCCCTTTCACCTTGCTCCCCACGTATGCTTGAATTTCCATACTCTTCCTCGTTAGAGCGAAGTCGATAAACAAAATCGAGATGAAAAAATCCCATTGCATGTATCTGATAAATCGGATAATTGTAAACGAGCGGTTTGTAACTGCAAGTTGCAGCTTCCTCCTGAGATCTATCGATCCCGCGGAGCCCGTAATTATCCCGATCGATCAACGGAGATCGAGAAGGAAGTGCACGTTTCTCCTCAACGTTTGGCTCGTAGACGATATTCGCGTGACCGAAACCACCGACGAAGCTGTTTCGCGATCCATGGATCCTCGATCTTGAGCACCGTGAAAGTGATCGACGATAATCGACTGTATTGTGTACAATTATGCACACAATTGATCTTCCTTTAAATGGTTTCTTTAAAAGATTCTTTGAAAAAAAGGAACTTGAATATTGACAAAATGGCGACGCTTCGAAGGGATGTAAATCTTCAGTTTGCTGATATTTACGATCAACAATTTGTTATAAGGTCATCCACAGAGTCATTATCGTTTTTCATTCATCCTTCAGCGTTCATTCAGCATCGTCAGCGAGTGAGACGCGAGGAACGCGACTTTTGACGCGACAGCAAGACAGACAGTCGTCGAGGCAATCTAATAACCATTCAGCCGGGTTTCGTAAAGGGTAAATTCCCTTTCGTTGGGTCCACAATGACTTTTCGCCGATTCATCGGCTGGCAACCTGTTGGCAGAACGGCCGAAAGATTCGCGGGAATCTTGGCATTTGCTTCGCGGCTCGATGAGACGAACGATGTCGCAATGATCGAGCTCCGCAGACTTCCTATGGCGGCGTCCCTCGGTTGGTCCAAAATGCCAGAACCCCTTGCTCCCATCTGACATTTCGGGGCCCGAACACTCTCGGAATTCCTGGCGAACGCGTCCCATTTCTGGACCACGGAGAAATCCAGGCTCTTTGCTCACCGGAAAATACCCAAAGACCCAAAAAAAAACATTACAAATAATTTTTTATCGGAATTAAAAAGATATTCGACGCTTTAAATGGTCCCAATAGTCACTCAAACTGTTGAATTATCCCAAAGGCTGGAAAAGTTGCGTTGGATTCCAGTCGACCAGAAACTCTGTGGGAGTTTGGGAATTCCATTGTTGCCAACGATTTATAGATTTATAGGATCGAGATGACGACATCGATTTGGAATCGCAGGAATCGCGTATTTATAATGTCAACCTTACGTTTATTTTTAAACGTTCGTTCTGGGCAGGTCAATAGTTGAAAACCCTTAAATATAAAAACAAATAATATATGAGGAAAAATAAAAATTATACGAGAGAAAATATTGTTATAAAAATTGTTACCTTATTGTAAATATACAGTAATATATTTACAATACAAATAAAGGAAAATTCTATGTAAATATGTTTCGTAATTATACAATCGTCACTTATGTTTCAGTCGGTCTAATTTTTTTAAAAATCGTGCAGCACGTTAGATCCCAAGATGGCCGCCGTTTGGCATCCGAGCTCGTTTCACTTTCGACGCAACGCCGAGCCTCGACCGGCGTTTCCGAATCGACGGAAAACCGTATTTTCTCCGTTACGTAAAAATTCGCGTTGCACGAGTTGCTTCATCCCGTTTTTTCCCACCGCTTCTTTCGATTCGGAAGAGAATCGATGAACCGAAAAATCGGACGTCATTGTGGCGCCATCTCGATCCGCGTTCTGCGGTTTTTCACGCTCCATCGTGCGAGAATGTCAGGCAGAGATGGACAGTTGGGAAATTTGGCTTTTCCCCTCCACGTGCGCGTTGCTAAGTTTCGTAATTGGGCCAGGAAGATGGAAAAAGAAAATCGCGGAGAAAAGTTTTATGCAGTTTTAGCAGTTCTAGCGTTAAGGAATAAACGGAAGGATATTACTACACTCGAAATTAATTGCTTCGTAATCTCATCGTGGATCAATCTTTATTATGAAACGCGTGTGAGTAAATCGACGCCTGTTTGTAATTTTTCGTTTTTCTATGAAGATTTCTCCGATACCGTAAGAGCTTACGGATTCGAGATGCAATGAAACTTTATTGTTGTTCGTTACAACACGCTATTATGTTTGAGATATCGAAAGAACAACGTTCATCGTGAGCAGAAAAGAAAAGATATTAAATATGATTTTATTGTCATTGTTTTATATTATACTGTTTTCCTACAGCCTATAAATTATACTTCAAAAAAAAACAGTCCAACGAAGGGATTGAACGAGAAACAATATTAATGTTCATCGTTTCAATTAGTTCAGATTTAACCGCAGGTTGAACTTGAAGCGCTCGTTCGTAGATTAATCTTGCGGACCCCGGAAATCGAACCTGCCATTATGAATCATGCGATGACCCTACGCTCAACGTACGCGTTTCGCAAATTTCATGGTCAGACATATAGAAAGTTAATGCTTCGAGTATAATTAAACATCGAACTACTGGACGTACAAAATGTCACACGAGTAATGGGTTTGAAAATATTTTGAAATTCCCGGGCAATTTTACGGGAGCATGTTATTATTTCTACGGAATAATATCGAGTATTAACGCAGAATACGAGAAACACCGAGTAAAGTCAAGAATAATATTATAATAAAAATGAAAAGATCAAGGATAAATAATAAAGACAGTCATTATGTACTTTACCCTGCTGACATATAACCATACCTCTTCGCAGGTATAAATGGATGCTTGTCTCCGCTTCCGTGTGTTAGTTTTTCTTTATTGCATACTTCGTTTCACATTGTACACGAATCTCGTCCAACGATGACACGTTATTATTATTTTCTACCACTCTCTCCGACTATAAAAGGTCTACTAACCTTAACCTTCGCGTTCACATTCCCACAAAAGTTCAATTTTAAACAAAGAATATTATTATTACTGAAAACGTTGATTACACTCGTAACGTGTAACTCGTTCGATACTTTCGACCAAAATGTTCCTTTTCCCCAGTTTTGAGGATGAAAGAATCGTTGGATTGGCTTAACCATAACCTGTACACGTCTATATGTGCAAGAGACAAAGCGTAGTTACGAAACCTAACCACATTCTTTTTATCGAACGTTTTCATTTCACATACGTGGAAGTACAAATGTACATGTGCTATGGTGTTTACTTACAAGTATGTAAAAATATAAAAAGATTGAGGTTACGTTTCGTGACACCCTCTTGCACATTCACGTATTTTGGTAATATTCTACTATTGCATACACTTCACGCATGTAACCACTTCCACGTATACGTAACAGTAACGTTTACCATTAATAACACAAATTATTAACAAGAAGCGTTACATTAAACTCAATAACATCGTTTGCAGACTCAACGAGGCATTAATTGCTGTTTCTTGCCCCAAACTGAGGTTAGATTTCGCGACACCTTCATGCACACTTTCGTATTTTGGTAATATTCCACTTTTACATACACTTCACGCATGTAACCACTTTCATGTATACGTAACAGTAACGTTTACCATTAACAACACAAATTATTAACAAGAAGCGTTACATTAAACTCAATAACATCGTCTACAGACTCAATGAAGCATTAATTGCTCCAGACTGAGGTTAGGTTTCGCGACACCCTCATGCACAGCTTCGTATTTTGTTAATATTCCAATTTTACATATATTTCACGCATATAACCACTTCCACGTATACGTAACAGTAACGTTTACCATTAACAACACGAATTATTAACAAGGAGCGTAACATTAAACTGAATAACATCGTCTACAGTACCAACGAGGCATCGATCGCCTCGGTTTTCGACTTTTTCTTATTTATCGAAAATCATCGTCCCGGGCAAGCACGTTTTCTTTGCACGTACACTCCACCCACACATTTCACACATTTCATGGTCAGACATGAAAGTCCTTAATACGCTAAAGCATGATCGAGCACCGTCTACAGGACGAACAAAATGTCACACCACCAAATTCCTTTACAAAACTTCGATCGACCCTCGTTAAATAATAGCGCGTTACAAACAAAAATAATAACAACTAACAAAGAAAACAAAGTTACATTTCATATTCGGGACCATAAATTCCGTTTATTCGAATAATTGATGGGACTAGCGTACAAAATAGATACAGTACACGGTGTTTTGGTTTATCCATACAAGTTTATTAAATAAGAAATATTCTGGGATCTCGTGTTGGTATATAACGAGTCCCTTCGAGCGATCTCTACGCCATTGCATCCCGCCGGCTTGGATCACCGTAGACCCATGCACAGACGGCGCAGCGTTCAAAGACACGGGGAGGGGGGTGGGACCGTCGCGGGCCGCATGTGGTGGTGGTAATATAAAGCCCGACGAGTGGCGGGTCTCAGTCAGTCCGTGAGCGGTACCTACACCTTCAAAGTCCGCGTCCTTGAAGATAAACCCCGTCCCCCCCGAGCGAAGTCAGAGGAGCCCCGTGAACAAGGCGCCCGCGAGCGCCCGATCGTCGACTGTCTACCGGAAGTGGTGTCACGAGGATTCGTGATCTCGTTGGTTAGACCCATCCCCACCCCCCTCCGCTACGAATCCCAATTTCGCTACCTTCGACACGAGGAGTGAACCGAGGAGAACCCGTGGATACGACGGTGATCACGTGAAACGAGCAACGGAACGTCCATCAGGGAACAGGAAGGCCCACGTAGCCCCATCCGTCAGAGGAGGATGAGGTCCTCGCTGGTGCTGCCGTTGCTGGCAGCGATCGCTTTCGCCGGTGAGTAACGCGACCTTTGACCCGGGTAATTCGATTAACGGAACAACCCGGTGACTCTGATTTATTCGGTATATATTTCGAGGGGGTGGAATTGATAGGAACTTGGGGGGGTTGGACGGGCCCAGAGAGCGATCATGGAGTGAAATATGGCAGCAAAGGGAACATGGAGTCGTTTCGCGAATTGGTGCGCGAATTTTCAATATGGGACCGGTTTTCGGCCCGATGGTCGCGAAGCGGAGGATCGTGTAGCATTAATTTAAAAAGATGCCCATTCCTCGATGGAGATTTTGCATCCGCGGGTGATCGTCGATCGGAATTCCATCGCGTTGAGAATCGCCGAGTCTCTCAATGGGTTTCCAAACGATCGTAGCCGCGATTGGTCGAATGCACTCCTCGATTATCCAATGAGCACTCGGTCACGGCTACGGGTGTAAAAACTTGCGTCGAATCGAATTTCCGAATTGCGGGTGCACGTGAGGCCCCAAAACCGGGCCAGAAGCTTTCCACGGGACGCCGCGGCCGCGGAGAAAATACGATTCTGGCGGTCGCCAGAGACGACAGGTTGCATAAGAGATTAGAGCGTGAAAGCCTCTGGGCCTGGTTGGTCCCGGATGGGTGACGTCACTGCCGTGCCCTGAAAAACAACGGGGTGGGGGGAGCACAACTTTCCCCGTTTGTCGTGGCGCCGCGCCGGACCCGACGGGACCGAGAAACTGTAGAAATTGTCCAACCGGAGCCGCGGTCCCCTTTTAACGGGCCCTCAATTTTGAAAACGTATATACACAGAAGTGTGATTTTCAGTTTCTCGTCCATTCAATCGATTACGATGCGGAAATTGTTCTCGTTAGTTTCCGTGGACCTCGAGGTTTGAAACTGCCTGTAGAATGATTTTTTTTAGAGAATTCCGAGTTTCCAATATCTTATTCTAATGGTAGAAATCACTCTCTTTGAGTCGATATTTCCGTGGGCCTCAGATTTGAAACTACCTGTAGAATGAACCTGAGCTCTATTTTTAATATTCCTAACCTTTCAGTGTCTCGTTTGTGACTTTAGTTTATTGTTGCGTGGATCAGTCTTGACATCAACTACAGCACTTTTCATAATACGAAAGTGTTAAATATATTATCAAAAATATCGTAAAAATTTTAGATTTGCATTCGCCAGCTTTAAAGTACGTTATTTTACGAGTGCCAACGGTCAAGTTTATTGTAAAAATTGCACAATTTGGAATGCATTGTTATGAAAAAATATTCATATTTTCTAGTTTTATTCTGTAAAGTTGCAACCTTCCGGAAGAATTTATGCTCGTTTTGAAACTACCTATAAAATTCGAGCTTTTTGATGATAAATTTTTTAAAATTCATGGCTGACAGAAACAGATCCTAAAATAAATTCGCGCGATCCACTTTTGAAACTATTTGTAGAGCCCCCAGTTTTCAAGACAGATTCTAAATTCGATTCTACGGATTCTAAATCGTTCTAAACTTGTTTTCTCGTAAGATTTCAAGCGCTTGTTAGAAATGTTGACCCAGACCTTCGATTTTGAAGTCACTCGTAGAATGCTCGGTCTTGGAGCCCGTCTGAAGATTAAAGTTAGTTGTCGAAACTTGTTGACTGTTCGGTTCGCGAGTTAATATTCCACTTCCAGAGATCCTCCAGGAATTTCACTTTCGTCCGCGTTGCAGCTGTTTGTTTTCTCCCGGTTATTTCTACACGAATTTTTTCACTGGATACTTTTTCTTTTTAAAATGTTCACTCCTTTTTTGGCTGATATATACTCACTATACAGTCTATATTTCCTTTGAAGAAACAGACTTCCAATTTAATTGCTAATCCCAAAAGTATTTCAAATATTTGTCTGTTTAACATTGTTTTTTCAACGATTCCTTCGACAAATTATTTTGAAATTTTCACTCTGCACAACCAATCGACCTTCTCCGCGGAACTCCTTCGACAGGATCAAACTTTCTCCTCAAACGACGATCGTTCGAGGAATAACTCAACCAGGTGTCTTCTTCTCAAACACGTTTCACGAGGATTGTTATACAAGTAGCCAAACGCGCATATTTCTCGATCGAAACGTCCTAATAAACTTTCATCAATTTTCATTGATGATTCAAAGGTTACAGAAAAAATTAGGTAATTCTTAAAAGCATCTCTTTTGTGAACGTCAAAAATAAAATAAACTATTGTAGATGTGTATTATATGTTAGGATTATAACGATTTTCAAAGTGAACGTGAATGGAACTGTCTGAAATCTCAATATCATCGAAGAATATAAACAATTTTATTTTCTATTTTCTATTTTTTTTTTTGTGTAATAACACCATTTATCTTCTATTTTTTAATTTTTTAAATTCTCTGTTTCCTACTTCCACCTGATAAACAATTAGCACGCTCGTCTGAATACAAAAAGTTTAATTTTGTATCGTTTGGGATTGCAAATAGAAATTGTTTTCGTCGATGATTTGCAACGCGTCGCCAAATAAAACAATGTAAATCGAAAGGCACGAAACAGCTTTCTCCAGTTCGCTGCTTTGATATATAAAATTAACGCGGGCGTCAAACTGCAAAAAGAAGAAAGGGACACGTGCTTCAGCGCGCGTAAAAATACGCTGTTCGCCATCGCTTTCACGGCGAGAGCGTTCCCATCGATCGGTGAACCAATTTATCGAAACAATGATTCCAATTATTATGCAAATCGTTATGCAACTGGCGCATTGAACGTTCGACAATGTTTTCTTCGATCGACGATAAGCTCGACGCGTTTATTCAAATTTTATCTTTCGATTCGTCGATGTCTCCAATTTTTCTCGATATAGATCGAAAACTTTATATAAACTCTAACGCTAACGACTAAATATATTACGAAGCAATTAATACTCGTTTCTTTCGTTCCATGGCTAAGAACTTTGAGCATGATATATATTATTTAATGATCAGTTGCGTAAGCAAGATTCATATAGGCCAAATCCTAATACGACTGTTACGTAAATAATAAGATCGGTTTTCACTTCCGCCTCGAGTACTCGTACAAAATATAGATTGATTTAACCGCGAAAAAATTTCATTGGTAGGGCTCTCCTCATTACGGAATAATGTAATACCAAATAGAATGGATTGTTATTTAGATCCGCTATCTACGAACCTTGTTTGGCAATTCTATCGATCGATGAATAAATAACTGCTGAAGTTCTATCGACGCTAATCTCACGCTTTGCATAATCTTGCAACCGATATCCGCGCGATTACGCAGTCTCGTAATTTCACGAAAGTCCAAACGATGGTAAACTAACGCTTAAAAAAAAACAAATATACAAATTTTTGTTCGAAATAAATCTTGTAAAATAACACAAGTCGAGTAAAATCGTCCATTTTTGGTTGGGTCTGAAATTCAACATGGCGTCTTAACATCATATCGAACCTCCTCTTCCACCTCGCTTTGAAATTCTCCATTTATTTCTATAATTTGCAATTAATCCAATAGAAAATTAACCACGTAAATGGAGGACTTGGTACACACATTCTCCCAAAAAATATTTAATAAACATACTCCGACAGCTTCACAACTACCACACATAACGAGGACTTAAAATCCTCCACTTTGTTTGTGTCTAAAATTCAACATGGCGTCTTAACATCATATCGAACCTCCTCTTCCACCTCGCTTTGAAATTCTCTATTTATTTCTATGATTAGCAATTAATCCAACAGAAAATTAACCACGTAAATGGAGGACTTGGTACACACATTCTCCCAATAAAATATTTAATAAACATACTCTGACAGCTTCACAACTACCACACATAACGAGGACTTAAAATCCTCCACTTTGTTTGTGTCTAAAATTCAACATGGCGTCTTAACATCGTATCGAATTTCCTCTTCCACCTCGCTTTGAAATTCTCCATTTATTTCTATGATTTGCAATTACTCCAACAGAAAATTAACCACGTAAATGGAGGACTTGGTACACACATTCTCCCAAAAAATATTTAATAAACATACTCCGACAGCTTCACGACCGCCACACATAACGAGGACTTAAAATCTTCCACTTTATTTGGGTTTAAAATTCAACATGGCGTCCTCAACGTCGTGTCGAACCTCCTCTTTCACCTCACTTTGAGAATTCATTATTCGTGTCGACGTCGCGGACGGAAAGTTCTCGTGTAAAGACAGCGATGGACGGTCGCTCTAATTTTAGAGGGTCTCGAGCGCGTGAAGCGACAGGATGACACGAACAAGAAGGAGGAGAGCTTCGAGAGCGAGATCTGCAAAGACAAGGATGCCGGGGAGTGGTTCAGACTGGTGGCTGGAGAGGGTGACAATTGTCGCGACGTGATCCAGTGCACCAGTTCCGGCCTCCAGGCCATCAGGTGTCCCGCTGGATTGTACTTCGACATCGACAAACAGACGTGCGACTGGAAGGACTCCGTGAACAACTGCAAGCTGAAGAACAAGGAGAGGAAAGCCAAGCCTCTGTTGTACACCGAGGAACCGCTCTGCCAGGACGGTTTCCTCGCTTGTGGCGACGGGTCCTGTATCGAGAGGGGACTGTTCTGCAACGGTGAAAAGGACTGTGCGGACGGATCCGACGAGAACATTTGCGGTACGTACGACCACCTGATTTTTGGGACGATAAGATTGACAAATAGTTTTTAGTATTATCGCTGAATTCCTGAGATCCTTCCGATTAAAATGAGTCCAAACACGGCCACGTTCGGACAACTTTTAATTACACGAGCTCAAAACGATTTCAAAATGGCTGAAATTTTGTAAAAATAAACATTGTCGGAAGTAGGTCGTGTTTGGACTCATTTTCATCGGGAAATCCTCGCCAGTCCAGGGGTAATGCTTTCGTAGAGATGAGATGGATATTCGACGAGAAGTCGAAGGAACAATCTCGTAAAAATTCCAGATATGGACAACGATCCTAACAGAGCGCCACCCTGCGATCCCGTCGTCTGCGTTCTTCCCGATTGCTTCTGTTCCGAGGACGGTACCATGATCCCTGGCGATCTGCCCTCCAAAGACGTGCCGCAGATGATCACGATCACCTTCGACGACGCCATCAACAACAATAACATTGGCTTGTACAAAGAGATCTTCAACGGGAAGCGCAAGAATCCGAACGGTTGCGACATAAAGTCCACCTTCTTCGTTTCTCACAAGTACACCAACTACTCAGCCGTCCAGGAAATGCACAGGAAGGGTCACGAGATCGCTGTCCACTCCATCTCGTAAGGACACGTCCCTAAAATTCTTCGAAGAAAAAAAATTAGAAAAAGTCTTTTCCAATCTTGCGTCTGTCTCAAGGTCAATCACTATTGTTGTCCACCCTGAGAACTACGTCAAATTTTCATTTTACTTGGAGTTAACCTGAAATTCTTCGAAGTCAAGTATTCCCTTCTCCGCGGATCCCCCAAAGTTAGCTTCTGTTTCAAGGCACAACGACGACGAACGTTTCTGGTCCGACGCCACCGTCGACGATTGGGCCAAGGAGATGGCTGGTATGAGGATCATCGCCGAGAAGTACGCCAACCTGACCGACAACAGCGTGGTAGGCGTGAGGGCTCCGTACCTCCGTGTCGGTGGAAACAATCAGTTCACCATGATGGAGGAACAAGCATTCCTCTACGACTCCACCATCACCGCCGCCTTGAACAATCCACCCCTCTGGCCTTACACCATGTACTTCAGAATGCCACACCGTTGCCACGGAAACCTTCAACACTGCCCCACAAGGTAAGAATCTCGTGAATCTCCAATGATGCGTCGATTTCTAGCTCATGAAGCTTTAGCTTATCAGCTTGTCAGTATGAAGAACAGATTCAGGAAGATTGGAACGAGTCATCAACTTTACTTGGTACTTTCTACTTTGATCATTGAACGCATTGTTAACTTCCTATTATGTTCACAACAACAGTAATATAAGATACTCAACTCACTTGCCCTATAAGCTTATGATGAAGCAGGTTCTTCTGCAAAACTCTTCGAGACAACTCATTTTATTTGATACTTTTTACAATGTATACTCTCTGTTAAACAATTCACCAATTCGTTAGCATCCTCTCACTCTCTCAACGACGTACAATGCAAAGCAATATAAGATACTCAACACATCCTCGCTATGAACACACTTGCCCTATCAGCCTATGAAGAAGCAGGTTCACTTGACTTGATACTTTTCACAATGTATGATCCCTGTCAAACAATTCACCAATAGGTCAACATAATCCTGACCCCACACAGCGAAGGAGTAGGTTCCTGGTTCCCCCAAAAACCGAGTTCACGAATCTGTTCCCCAGGTCCCACGCTGTCTGGGAGATGGTGATGAACGAGCTGGACCGTCGCGAGGACCCCCAGAACGACGAGTACCTGCCCGGTTGCGCGATGGTGGACTCGTGCAGCAACATCCTGACCGGCGACCAGTTCTACAACTTCCTGAACCACAACTTCGACCGCCATTACGAGCAGAACCGCGCCCCGCTGGGTCTCTACTTCCACGCCGCCTGGCTGAAGAACAACCCGGAGTTCCTCGACGCTTTCCTCTACTGGATCGACGAGATCCTGTCGAACCACAACGACGTCTACTTCGTGACGATGACCCAGGTGATCCAGTGGATCCAGAACCCGCGCACGGTCACCGAGTCGAAGAACTTCGAGCCGTGGAGGGAGAAGTGCGTGGTGGACGGGAACCAGGCCTGTTGGGTGCCGCACACCTGCAAGTTGACATCGAAGGAGGTGCCGGGGGAGACCATAAACCTGCAGACCTGCGTCCGTTGCCCCAACAATTACCCATGGGTGAACGATCCGACCGGCGACGGCTTCTTCTAAGCCATCCGCCCTCGCGTTCCTCCATCTCGTCTAAGTCAAACCCTCTGACACTTCTCTTGCCTGTCGTTTTGGGCGTTCACCTTTCATCATCCCCGAATTATTCCTCCCCCTATTCTCTCGCCTCCCCCCTGCCATTGGCCAATCGCTCTTCACGAGTTTCACGGTGGACGTCGGCCATGTTTTCGCGATGGATCGAGGACGACATCGATGGAGCATCATTCCAACCCCTACGATTTGCTACCGAACGAAAACCGTCCGTCACGTCACCAACGATCTGTGATAAGTATCGAACGCCCCCCGAGATACAGCGACCAGGACGACGAACTTGACGATGACGAGACCTCATTTCCAGTCAGCGATGGTCAAACAGTTTCTCCCTTTGCAACCCCCCACCCTCAACAACCCTTCATCGAAACCCGACGGAGAGAAATGGCGGGTCCGCGAAAACGGGTCCGCGAGGATTGCCTCGATTGTGTAATATAAACGCGTGTCCCAGTATCCGTCCCCGAAATATTCCTGCTTCCTCGAAAGGACGCGACGTATTTGGCTGGAACGCCAAGCTTGGTGTCCTGTTCCCCCCAGGAAAAAATCGATGATCCCTCAGCGACCGCCAAAACTCCCTCTTTAAGGGCGGACACCCTTATTTTTCTAAGGGTAAGCCAAACTTATATAAATATATATATATATATATAAATATTAAATATTATGTATGTACATTATTAAAGATAAGTGATACTATCAATTGCCGAAAGGAAACTTTAATAAAAGAGAAACTTGCGAAATACACAGTCTCGTTTACTTCCTCGAATCCCAGCGAGCGCTCGAAGTCGAGTTAGACTAGGTCTTAGCGTCCATTGTTCGACTTGGAAACACTTTCCTCGTCAAGGTCAATGATCTCTGACCATTCTAAAACCAGCATAAAAGCAGTTAGGAAACGTTGCGTCAATATTTTCAGGGCCCCCGTGAGCGAGAATTTAAGGTGCTTGAAGTGCATTTTTTTAGACTCTTTTGGAGAATTTTTTGCAAATAAACCACAACACTTTTCGCGATGAAATTTACAAGGTTTATTTGTACGCTTTTCGATGATATTTCAGAAATTTTTTGGGCCCAAGAAAGTCAAAATTGCTGATACTGCAGACTCTCAAACGCTTGAACTAGATAATTAACTTCTGACGAAATTGAAGCAATATAATCGACTGCAATTTTTCTCCGCGTAGTTCTTCGGATCTATCGATCTCGCGGAAGAATGTCACCTTTCTTGTTCGTTAATTCGCCCGCTTGGATCGCATAAATCACGAGACGCGTCGTGTTATTAATTCCAGTCATTCGTTAGGACGGGAATTACATTTCAAGCTGACGCGTGAATGCAATCGACTGGTGGCGCAACGAAAACGTCGAATAGTTAGGGTACAGGTGTTAACACCGCTTGACTAATTGACTCCAATTTTCCCAGATCTCATCTCCCGGCTAGGTTTCCCAACATAGCCAAGGGACGCCGTTTTTTATAGTCGTCTCGCCTCTTTCTGATGATGATGAATGCAGCCACGAAGCGTCTCTGGTGCGCTGGATATGGGATCACGGTTGAAACTGATGTACGAAACCAATTAACTCCTGACATAATTGAAGCATCGAGTACTCCGGATGCATGGATTATTAAAATCACTTTGCTAATTGGTTCGAATTCTACCCAACCCCGTCCGACAAATTCTCAATTTAAGCTAGGAGGAAACTTCAGCATTCTGTTTCCGTTCTCAACGCGTCTAAAACCTGGGTTATAAATTAAAATTGTCGACCAGTTGCCAAAAGATCGAGACGTCGACTCGATTTATTTCCGTAACAAAGTGGTTCAGTCCCAGGAACGTCTGATTTAAAATAAAAGATGAACATCCTTGCTGGTTTGCAAGGAAACAGATTGTAACAATTTGCACGCGACGTTTCTTGCGCAATAGACGGTGTAAAACCCGTAGAAAACATTCTTTTCCTACAATAATTTTACACCGAGGGAAATGAAATATTCAAACCGAGAGGCTCGAAGGATAAACAACGTTGCGCGAAAAGGATAGCGTCTGTAAAAGGTTCTGACAGTGAAATATTACCGATTTCTGAAACGCGGAGTACACGACGAGCAGACATTGCGACGTGCAAAGCCTTGTAATAAATGTTCCCCGATATGAATTTGACACCAACGGAATCCAGACGCACTCGGGGACAGGTTCCACGTAGGAAAACAGCATTTTCAGGAAGACTGATCGACGATCTATCCTTGTAAACTAATAGGTCTCATCTGGGGAAAGCCAAACAGTGGTTTCGATCGTTCATATTGGAAGAATGATCCTATAAATCATCGATAGAGTTCTTCTGAGGTGTCAAAATAGGGCTTGTTGTCTTTAATGAGCATATTATAGCGAAATTTGGAAAATCTCCTTTCGTGTAGAGTATTTTGATTTATTAAAACAGTTGTGTAGAAAAGAAAAGTGGTTTTTGGAACTGGTGTTGGAATCTGGGTAGTCAAGTAATGCTCCTTTTGTGTTATAAGAGTTTATTGAATTATGTTGGATTCACGTCGAACTTAATTATGAAGAATAACGGAATTTGCTATGGAATTTGACTCTTGGACAGGGCGTTGACAAACGCAGACTTCTTGTGCAAGAAGCTAGCTAGCTAGCTAGCGAGGAGTGAGCCAGCTAGTTGGCAAGGAGTGAGCTAGCTAGCTAGCAAGGAGGGAGCTAACTAGCTAGCTAGCAAGGAGTAAGCTAGCAAGCTAGCTAGCAGGCAGTGAGCTAGATACCTATAAAGGAATGAGCTAGTCAGCTAGCTAGCAAGGAGTGAGCTAGCCAGGTCATCTAACAAGGAGTGAGCTAGTCAACTAGCTAGCAAGGAGTGAGCTAGTCAACTAGTTAGCAGGTACTGAGCTAGATAGCTAGAAAGGAGTGAGCTAGCTAGCTAGCAAGAAGTGAGCCAGCTAGCTAGCAAGGAGGGAGCGAACTAGCTAGCTATCAAGGAGTGACCTAGCCAGCTAGCTAGCAAAGAGTGAGCCAGCTAGCTAGCAGGCAGTGAGCTAGATACCTAGAAAGGAGTGAGCTAGCCAACTAGCTAGCAAGGAGTGAGCCAGCTAACTAGTTATAGCAAGGAGTGAGCTAGCTAGGTAGCCAGCAGTGAACTAGCTAGTTAGCAGGCACTGAGCTAGATAGCTAGAAAAGAGTGAGCTAGCCAGCCATGTAACAAGGAGTGAGCTAGTTAACTAGCTAGCAAGGAGTGTGCTAGCTAGGTAGCCAGCAGTGAACTAGCTAGCTAACAGGCAGTGGGCTAGCTAGAAGGCAGTGAGCTAGATAGCAAAGAGTGAGCTAGCTAGCTATCAAGGAGTGAGCTAGATAGCTAGCAAGAAATGAGCCAGCTAACTATCAAAGAGTGAGTTACATGTCTTAGCAATACTAGTGGAGGAGGACCCTTAGACCTAGTGACTAACGAGCCTCGTGACTACCAGACGATGACTTGTATCGATATTTGGCCAATTGCTCATCCAAACACTGATATGAAGTCCAGTTTTTTATATAATGAGATATTCAAGGGTTTAAATTAAGGGTAATAATTGTCAGCAGGATATACTGGTTCGAGTCTCGCTCCAAAAACAGGGTTTTAATACATTTTCCTGTAAGCAAAGATACCCCTTTAATAGAAACTATATATTTTTAGACGTCACATTGTGATAGCTGTAATAGAAAAATAGATACTATGTCTATACTGTATCAAAATGAAAGATAGAGCCACAAAGTGAGGCAGGGACTTTCAAACACCAGACATGAGAAAAGACTATATAAGGTTGACCTAGGTTGAGACTATACATATAAACTGTAAATATATTATGAATAAATCGTTGAAAAAAAAGGTCTGGTCATCGAAGTGCAACATCATTGGGTCAAATGCAGTTTTTTTGAGATGGGTTATTACCACTCTGGAGAAAAAAGTCGTATTGTTGAACATTCTTCACTGTTTAATATTACTACCCCTCTCTATCGGTGTTCCAATTGATCATAACCAGCCTATCATATTAAAAAACTATTTCGTGAATATAAATAACACCAAAACTATAATAATAAATAAAATTTAAAAATCTTCTCTCAATTTACAGCGAATCACCGTATGTACATATATTGTAGTCCACGAACAGGAGCGCGAGTGAATTGGTATTATATAAAAGGGTGTGCATTTGATCGGTGCCACTGGAATAAAGATCGAGCTCGATCCCCGTGGATCGTGAAAGCAAAACGTCACTTAATGTCACGGTAGCCCGGGGAACGCGGATCGTCGTGGAACGGGATGAAATTGCAATCGGTAAGTCATCGATCGACGGGGTTCGCGCGGCGTTTTGCATACCGGGTGCCGTTATTTTCCGCGTGGCCTAGAGAGAGAGAAAGAAAGGACGCGAGATGGAAAAACCGCGGGGCAACCTCGTGAAATACCAACAGGCCGGCGACGATTGCATTCCGACGCAGCCTTTCTTTCCACGCCGTTTATGCATCGTTTCCATTCCGCGACGATCCCAGTCCCGGTGCCTGGCGCGGACCGGGGGAATCCCATCTCCACAGTGAAAACTCGATAAATGTCCTCGAGAGCTGTTCCCTAAATGATACATTTTTATCCCCCTTGAACCAGCGAGGCGAAGTGTAACCTCTTCTTTAAAAATCTTTGTTGCCTTCGTCATCTTCGTTTAAATTGTCCCTGTCAGTGTGACCACGCTACTGTACAAGAAGAAAGTTTTTTATTTTTTATTTTTTTTTTAATAAAAATTTTACTATCATGTGGGGGGAGATTTTTCTAATTAAAATGAAACTAAACACGATATAAATCGATCAAATATTGTACTTGAGAGTCTTTCTCTCTTTGGAAATTGGAGCTTTGTAGAGGGTTGTCTTAATCCCTAGATATAATAATTCGTGCCTTATTTTAAGTATTTCTTATATTCTTGCATATTAACTGAATTCTGTGGTTTTTTGAAAATTAAAATTTCCCATAAATGCATAAACATTCGCAGTCTACTTATGAGTTAGTCGTAGAACACCGGACCTAGAGTAGATTCATCGAGTTTTCGCTGTACCTGGAGAACGAGCGCAAAAGTGCAACTCGTTTTCGGGGAAAAAGAAACGATCGTTTCGATTTTCCCGCGAGTCAACTTTCGATCAAACGCCCCCATTTCAGATACTAAAGAACGTTGCATAAAATAATGTACGGCTTGGACGGGGGACAAGTCTCGACGAGAAATTCGCATAATTCTCAAGTTGCATCGGTTTGGCCGTGGTTCAAAATGCAAAGTGCCTCGATTGACCCCAGTAAAAACGCACAGGAAGAACTTTACGAGGTCGTTGTAACGGTTCAACTATATTAAATCGAATATACGTTAAATCCGTTTCTCGTGGGTTACTAAATCTGAGAATATCGTCTCCTAAAAAGTGAAACAGAATTCGCGTTCCTTCGTCCACAGCTGCAAACTGTGCAAGGAAAAAAATTCGTCAATTGTTTCGAACGTATCGCGGGATGACTCGCGCGCCCACGCATTGCGGAGGCAATCGGTAAATGT